CCCGCGCCGGGCCGGCCGGCCAGCCGCGCGGGGGCGAAAAGTAAAATCCTCGGGAGACCTCCTGTGGCCCCGGGCCAGCAGCGGCCGGCCGGGCGGAGGCCGAGGCCAGGCCCTGCGGAGGGCTGGGGACCCCTGGGGCCGCCCTGAGGGGGGGTGGGGGTGGGAGACCATGCAGGCGGCCGGGCTGGGGGCAGGCTGGCCACCGGCCACCCCACAGCCCGCGGGGGCAGCGGGTGGACCTTGCTTTCTGCAGGGGCCGGCCTGAGGCCGCCGGGACTGCGGGCCCCTGGGGGGGGCTCCGGGCCTTCCTGGTGTGGGAGGCTGTCCAGGTAGAAGGTCAGCCGGGGCGGTGGCCTGGCCGGCCGCGCAAGCCCTGCCTGACCTGGAAGGCCTCCCTCTTGGCCCCACGGACGCGGCGTGGGCTGGCCGGCCCCGGGGCCAGGCGGACGTGCCCTCTGCGCCTGCCAGTGCGCTGGCGCCCGACCCTGGCCGGGGTGCCCGGCGCGTGCCGACTCCCAGCCGTGTCCGTGTGCCGTGCCGCGGGCTTGGGGTGTCGTCCCCAGTCCGGTGCGGCCGGCTCTCCTGTCCGGTGGGCGGCCTCCCGCGAGCCAAGGCGCCCCGGCCTCGGGGCCTGCTGCGTGCACCCACGGTCGGGGGCCGGGGGGGGGGTGGCTTGTGAAGCTGGTGCCCCAGGAGCTGGGCCGAGAGGGGGGCGGAGCCCAGGTGCGCGCCCCCACCTTTTGGGGTTGGGGTCAAAGGGCCTGTGTGCGCGGCGCAGGGCACTGACCCGCTGGTCCCCCCAGGAAAAGCTGGCAGGCTGACAAGCGGCCTCAGGACGGACTCTCTGGCTACTGACCGTGTTGCTGGTAAGATGCGCCCTGCCCGCGCCCTGCGGGGTCCTTGGCGCCCCCCGGCCTCAGGGCTCGTGCTGCCTCAGCCAGGGGCTCTGCCCGGCCGGGAAGGCAGAGAACCCCTCTCGCCCCCCGCCCCCGTTCCCTGCAGGCGGCCGGGCCGCTGGCCTCC